ACATCGATATACCAGCTCGAGTGTTCAAGACTGGGTCATGCGGATGGTGGGGCCGCACTAATATCAAAGTCCCTGTTGGCAAGCATAAAGTTATGGCTTCTTGTCAATTCCAAATAATTGTGCAGAAGTCTAAGGAATGGCCCGAGAAGTAGACTCATCACTATCCGTATATTATGCTCGAGTGAGCTATCATAGTCGACGCCATATTGATGTTGAGTTTGGAGTATATTCTTATGCGATGGGTGCGATTGATGATTATGTTCCCTCCTCCTGACTTGTAAATTATCGTGGTGGTGACAGTGCCGATGTCAACTGAATAATACGGTCACAACTATACCGTTTTTCGTGCAAGTTGATAAGTGACACTTCAAAAATGGTTCGCATCAGGAATGAAGTCTATCATTTCTTTCAATGGGCTACACTGAGTAGTTCACATGGATGTCTCGGGTGTTATGTTGTTGGTGTGGCAAGAAACAGTAACAAACAGTGTGTTCTTCTAAAAATGGGCCCAATGAACAGTATTGATTCCACGAAGAAAATGGTACACACATCGACCAAAGCTAGCTTCAAAAGACAGTAGCAACCACACCAGGTTCACCTACTGCGAACGCAAAACCAGATGAACAGCACCACAAGAATTGGAATGAGTATAGTAATTGCGACTTTGAGATCACTTCATTGCATGATATCATCAGCAAGGATCGCCAGTACGATCTCGAGGAGAATTGGCAGCGGCCCCTGAAGGGCTGCTCATGTTGAAGTTAGTTATTTGGTTGATAACATCAGCCGCTTGCCGCAGAATCCTAATAGCTTCGGCACAATGGGCTCGGCCTTGGGAAATCTCCGGAGACTCGTTGAGCAATTCGCCGAAAAGGTCCTCCTTATACAGTTGCGTGACCAGCTCTCGATGCAGCACCTGAGGTCCAACGGATGGAGCCTCAATGGCAGGGTTGTCCATCTCACTGGAGGCAGTTCCGGAATTCCGAAACTCATAGTGAAATTTCAATTCCTTTCAAAGGCAGGAATTTGAAAACTTGGAAACTTGACGAGATGCGAGTCAACTTCTTTCGCTCCACGCTGATACTATCTCATTGAATCAATCGTAGTAGTACATACTGATGAGGTATATCGAATACTAGTTCTAAAGTACAGTGGAGAATTTCGGGAAACAATAATCCTTGGAATTTCACTTCCAACAACCCTGTCCGAGGATGATAATAGTCGTACCATATCTGCTCCAAAAGTGTTGACCATGAAACACATGACAGCCTTTGGGACGAGGTCACAGATGGACCTCTTGACGATGTTGAGGTATCTGCCAATGACACTTGCCGATTTGCCGTGCTGATTCGCAACAACCCACGATGCGATCAAGCTCTTGATTATGTCCGTCTCTATACGCTCCTTCTCGCTGAGTTGGCTCGAGTGCACGGACACCACAGCAGGCGGTGCAGCAAGGCGAATGCCCGAGGGGATCCCCCCAGTTAGCGAAGTGATGCTATTATCCCGCTCTAAACCTGTCCCCCCGTTCTAGCTGAAACAATAAGAGAAGGAAGCCACTCACGTGCACCCATCATGGGGGTCGCTGCGGCGCTCCGAAGAGGCCCCAGGCTCCAAAGGAGACCACCACTTCCCTGTGGTGGATTCACAGGCGCCAGGCCAGGGACTGACACATGACACTCAGTCGCCCGTTATTCAACATTCGCTCACTAGAGATGGCAGGAGCAGACCCTCCGTTGACCCTCGGGGACATGGCGGCAGCTGAAGCACTGCTGACTTGGGCATCCGAGTCTGAGTGGCGGGAATGGTCTCGTCTCATTGAGGAAGTCCCATGGGATGCCGTATTCCCTGAGGAAGAGATTCCCATCAGGGCCACAGGCAACAAGCTGTTGATGATCACCACCACCACGCCAGAAGCCGAATATGCCGCTACGGGCAGCAGCAGTGCCGCCACCTTCTACTAGGAGGGGGTCGGAGAGCATAGGCTGCTGTGATCCATCGGGCGCTGTACTCCCACATTCTGACCTGAGATGGAGGAGCCCTATGAACGTACTATCATCATAGAGCCTTACAACGAGGGTGTGGGGTCCATTGTGGAGATAGCCGGCTCTCCTTTAGAGAAATGAAAGCCTGCTGTTGCCTCCATCCCGTACCGGGGGCTCTCAGAGGAACATGCCATTGAACCTCGCAACATCAATAACGATTCGAATCGCTTCCACCACACGCTTAGCGAATATTCTCAAGGAATAGGATGAGACTAGGCAGAAACAACGAGGTCATCGTTCTCACAGATATCGCAAGAAATCATAAAATATTTGAGGAACTTAGAAACGGCTAAGGGCCCAATGAGGAACGGCCACCGCCTATACTGCAGCAGCTTACAGGCACTGATAGCCCTCGAGCCTCCGATGAAGTCCGGATGGTTGGTGTTGATGTAACCAGTTTCGATCCGTATGAGATTGCGTATCATCTCTTTAGTCGGCGCCAGGCAGGAAGCCAGGACCGAGCGCACTACATCGTACACTCGCGCTCGCAACTTGTCAAATCTAAATCGGCGAAATCAATCCATCCTGTTGCTTCAGAAGCAGCCCAGTACCGGCGAAACTCCGGCATGGACCTTATGGTGAATGTAAGGCACTTGGTGAGCTCGGCATGGACGAGATCAGCACACTGCAGAGAAGGGGAGAGGAGCTTATTTATCTGGCCCTTCACAAGGGTTTCAAAAGCTGCCTGAAGTAGTGGCTCATTCGGGCAGCAACAGCGCAGATGCTTCTACTTCTGGTACGAACAGTGGGCTCTTCGGACCATTGGCGTTCCGTATGCTGGTTCGAATGTCGTGGTCAGTGAGCCCGTCAAACGGATCGAACTGATTCACTGCAGCCCCGAACACATCGAAAAAAATATAATGAATCCTCGCTCCGCCCTGAGGCACTGCATAGCACCCCGTAGTAGCCTCCTCCCGAGCTGCTCACCACGATAGCAGGCAGAGGAGCCTCGCCATCTACTGAGTCGTGAGGACTGGAATTATTGCGGCCTTCAATGCAATCCGCAAAACACCGAGAAAACTTCGTGAAAAGCTGCAGGAGTATATTGCCAGCCTGAGCCGCCGAAGAGTTCAATGACAAACTCAGCGTGTCCAACTACTCGACTGTGATCGGCCAACATACCACCACAGAGGTCGGTGCCGTAGGCAGCCATTTCCTGCTCGTATTCATGCAACATAGTATTCACCTGCTAGTCAATGACCCTATAAAGTAGCAGATGAGCCCCACCCGGTCCCTCAGCCCAGGAAGGGCCTCTCGTATGTGGGCCATAAGAATACGATGCAGCTGACGGGCCATATACGCCGTACCGCAGTGGCCTGATATATGCCTGAGGAAAGTCCCTATCAACAATTCTTACTCCATAGCGGGCAAGCAGTGGAGGAAGTTATGCACATGGTCAACTACATGTGTTGATGACAATTCTGAGAAAATTTGGGGAAATTCTCATTGGTTTCTATACACTTCTACTCGAATTCATATATAAACTACCATAGTTAGTGAAGAAACTCCTGAGCTCAGCTGAAAAGGGCAAACGCGCATTCCTCCAACACTGCGGACAATTGCCAAGTCCACGCTAGGCCCCTAACCCCAGACCTATAAGCCTCGTGCTTCTTGAAGAATGCCTCTTCGTTTTTGATACTGTCTCGAATGGTGACACCGTTCTGTATATCCTTTTGTGATCGACATACCACCCCTACATACCCTTGTCGTAGCGGATACACCTAAAGCCGAGTCGAGACCCGTTGACCTCCTGTTGCCGACCTTGCCGTTGATCATGTCAAGAGCATCTGTCCCCTCATCCATACAGTCCATCTTAGTGATGACCCCCATCGTCCGATCACCAGAAGGGTCCACCTTGGAAAGAGGACCTCATTATTGACGTAGTCTACCTCCCCCTCACCTGCCGCGCAAGTTGCAGAGAATCACTGTTGGCCAAATCAGTGTTGGCCGCGGTCACTGAGAAAAGAAGCCCTCCTCAGCTGTGTGGGAAAATATACACATGGTCAACAACATGCGCCGGTGACAATACAAAAACTTTCAGGAATTTCGGAAAATTTACGTATACCGTAATTCGTATACGAACTCCCTAGCTCACCTGAGAAAAGCGAACATATATTGCAAGACTGAACAACAGGGATGATCTTCCTACCAGCAAGCACGATACAGTTTGGCTTTGAAATGTACGACAGGACCATGTCCTTGATCCTGGCCTCGACATCAAGTGGTTGGTCTCCCACAGGCACCTTCGTGATACCAGGCAGATCGATCAAAGTCAGATCTGAATGGGTCCATCACCAGCGACCCCAAGAGGCCTCCTCACCAATGACGTAGGGCGAGAAGATCTTCAGACATATTGGTTCCGGACTGACCCCCTTGGAAGCACCACAGACTCGATCAGTTTCCTCTTCTATTTCCTGGCGAATCTCGGCGAAGTCGGAGAATCTAACGCCGCCCAGTAAAGGGGGACAAGGCGGTAAGGCGGGTAAAAAGGGGGGACGGTGTGGGAAAATACGCACATATGTTGGTGACAATATGGAAATTTTGAGGAAATTATTGTTGGTTTTTGTACAACTCCTCCCGAATTCGTATGTAAACTTCTATAATTAGTGAGGAAACTCCTGAGCTCAGCTGGAGAAACCCAACATATATTGCCACCCCATAGTAGTCGCTGCCTGCAACAGCGTATGAGCCTCATCCACTCCATTTTAATAATCATGCACATATATTATGTCTACTGAACTCTCGAACAGTGTGAGAATATGTGCGCATCGTCCACTACGTTTGATGGTAAAACTGTGGAAATTTTGAGAAATCATTTTTGATTTTTTTTACGCATCTACACAAAATGGCGTGTGGTTTCCCATTCCCAAGTAGTGTGCTCAGTTGAGGTAACCAAACACATGTATCCCCACACTGTTGTCTAATCCTCGACTTACTTTTTATCAGGTCGATGGGTAAATTCCCCCCACTCTTTAGCAGTCTTATCACCACCACTACCTACAGTGTGACACTACAGCAACGACAACAGCCACATGCCGTGTCACCAGCCCTTATCGTAGGACCAACGACTTGATCCTTAGTCGTATTGCGAAGCTGTAGAATCAGCGGTCTGCGAGTGACTATACCCGTCCCACGTGGGAGGAAGTCCCGACCGACCAGAGCTTCCAACACCTGCTCGAGTCAGTCCTACCCCCCACACTGTGATCGACCTTACACTGGTCTTTCCAACACTTTGGCAGCCGACAACAGCCAACTGTGGCAAATCCAAGGTCACATGGAGCCCCACTGTCGAGAGAAGATCCTGGAGTCTGTTGATCACTGGTATGAGTTGATCCATGAACCACAGTAGAAGAACAGTACAGTTGAAGCAAAGTCTTCATATCTTAGTAATTGACAACAGGTAACGCAATACCTTCCCCGATGTCCGAAACATGCACACGCTGAAACACTGTCACCAATTATCTCCTACTCCCTCAGACCTCTCCGCGGCTCGCTCCGCCTTCCGTTTTGATTTCATCCACATGTCGGTGGCCAGCTTCTCGACTCTGCTGTTAATAACCTACCATGGAACCCTGAGAGCCCGCGCCCATAACTACACCAACATCGTCCAAGTCTCGAGCTATTCTCCTCGTCTTAGCCGCATCTCTCGCCTCAATGAGCTCCTTAATATGCTTGTTACTCTTCATCACACTAGCCTTCATCCGGTCAAACGCTGTAGTGTCCGCTTGGAAACGAGCCGCCTAGGAGAAAGCCTAGTAAGGTCACAGACCAGACCGGTCCCCCCCCAACCTCGACGAGCTGTTTGGTATAAGCTGCTACTGCCCAGGCATCGGACATGTAGTACACGCATTCATTCAGCTGACCGTTTTGGTGATAGAGTGATGGGAAATCCGGAATCTACAACGGAGGCGTCAACCCATAGACCAAGACTACTACTACTACTACGACGACTACTACTACTACTACTACTACTACTACTATTACTACCTCCTCAAGAGCCAGTTTGTGCAGTTCTAGTCTCGAAGGCTGACCCACATTGTCAACTCCCTGAGATGACATCACCATCGTAGCCCAACGACAAGCAGCAACAACGGCTTACCATAAATCGCCTTGCGACTCTGCTAGCGACAGGGAATATTTTCACTCGTGGGGGCTCAACTCCTGGTTGGTTGAAGACCCTATGCAGATCGTGCTGAACGATACCTGCAACCCGAAGCCTCCTCGCAAGCAGTGTGGCAGAAAATATGGAATGGTGTTGGTGATTGTAGGATTTTTTTGCTGTTTTTTGTCCACTCTTACTCCGAGTCGTGTGAAAAATTCGACCATGGAGTTTCATCCGTGGTAGGAAAACACTAGTGAATAATGTATTTCGTGACTAATGTATATCGCGAATATCGCGTTTTTCACAAAGTACTACACCACTACACCTAAAATGGGTGAAACTCAACTTCAGTGAGCTCAGCTCATGAAGCCTAGACCTATCCCGGCGTCGCCCACCATGCAGTTTCAAGCCGTCCAGATACTTCCGTTGTGTTGCCCCCCGCTTGTGTGGAAAGCCATGCAGGTGCTCTTGATAGCCGATGTGCCATTGTACAGTAGTCTCGGGAAACTACACATACTAACACTACTAGTTGATCACAATGGCGCGTTTCACTTCAGCTTCCCTTTCCTC